GTTTCCAGGCCAACCTTATATATTTGGCACGCGCGCCGTACAGGCGCGGAAGTTTCCAGCCTAAAAGAAACAAGTCTAATAGAAGTATCATGCAGGCGCATGCTTAATGTCAAGGACTTGCTGAGGGATGGAAAGTCCAATGCAATCAAAGAGTGATTGGCCGGCCGCGTGCTCTTGGCGATGCGTGGCATCTGCTGATGGTGTGGTGGGGTGGGATCCAAAAGTCAAGCTCTCCTAGGAGCATGTCCATGGTCTAAAAAGGATTGCCTTCCAAATTTGCTGAGGGTGCTGTGGTAGAGTTAGAAAAAGCAAATTTGAACGACGTTTTCATCGTCTTGACAGACGTGCGATGATCTTTAAATTGCCATATGTCACATGTTCGTTCGGTTGAAGGAAAATTATGCGGAGCATGCCCACAGAAGTGTAACATCCCAAGAAAAGAGAAATTGATTTATAAGGCCTTGGGCCGCATAAATCGTTTATAACATCCTTTTGACCTCTGTTGGTATTAATAGCATGGTGATTTTCCATGGCTAGTCATAACCAGATGGTACTTTTTTCGCTCCTGGGCTCAGGAAGTCAAAGTTTCCTTCAATTCCATCTCCCAAGAGACGGAGATGGAAATCGACCGAATCCTGATGATGCGGTGAAGAGATCAACGTGGCGATCCTTTGGCGAAGTGATGTTGAAGAACCTACCCTCTGGTGAACTAACATAGCAATGGAAAATCACCATTCTTAATGGGAAAATCCACTATAATAGCCATTTTCCATTGCTATGTTAGTTCACCAGAGGGTATCATCTAAATAAAATTGGGGGACCACCCGAACATCCACATCATCCATATCATCCATATCATCCAGATCATCCAGATCATCCATATCATCCATATCATCCATATCATCCATATCATCCAGATCATCCAGATCATCCATATCATCCATATCATCCATATCATCCATATCATCCAGATCATCCAGATCATCCAGATCATCCATATCATCCATATCATCCAGATCATCCATATCATCCATATCATCCATATCATCCAGATCATCCAGATCATCCAGATCATCCAGATCATCCAGATCATCCAGATCATCCAGATCATCCAGATCATCCATATCATCCAGATCATCCAGATCATCCAGATCATCCAGATCATCCAGATCATCCAGATCATCCAGATCATCCAGATCATCCAGATATATCCATGACATGATATATCCATGACATGTTTTCCGTGGTCCATCCTTTGGTAATGCAACGCTGGGACATGTCGACTCACCATGGGATTTTATTGCGACATATCGGCCATCGCCAGCAATCCCCCCAGGGGATGATAATGATCCTCGGGTATCCCAAAAAAGCCCAAAAGAGAGATTCATCGTCAATGATCTTCAACTATCCATAACTAGCCTGAACAACTTTTGCCTAACTCTCAACTTAATGATTTGCTTTGATTCGATGTTTGATTTTCTTCAATTCATTGGATCGGTTCGAGATTGGAATAGAATGCAATAGAATGGAATAAAATAGACTTCAATAAATATGGATAAATAAATAAATAAATAAATATATATATATATAAATATGGATAAATGATCCTTAACTAAACTATCCGTAACTATCCGTTTTTCAATCCTCAAGTAACGTTTCCGATCCAGGTGGCTTGGACCACCAGCTCGGAGGGGCTGCACGATGCGGTGGAGCTGCTGGTGCCAAGTTGGGCTGCCGTTGAGAAATTGCGGGAAGATCTGGGGAAATTTAGGTGGGCACATTGAGTTAGCACCATTCCATTTTTGTCATTTTTGGTGCTACTTAAATATGATTTCTGAAGTGGATTTTTGTGGACCATGTGAGTTTTTTTTCAAAGGTCGGGCGAGGTCGAGGCGTCGTTTTCAATGAACCACCACATCTGCATAGGAAGCTGAAAGGAGTTTCAGACACTTTAAAACCCATGGCAGAGTGCGTTTTGGGTGGGCGATTACTGCTCGATCGCTTGAACATGCTGGCATGTAGTGCTGATGACTGTTGAAAGTTGTTCCCCTAAATCTTGTTTCCCCACAACCACAAGCATAGAAGGCCACACGCGGCATCTTTCAAAGTGCAGACCGGCTTCCAGTCGTACTATGGTCAGGTTTCAACCCTATCACCACAATCGAAAACGGAGACTAGCCTATCCCCCACCTGTTTTAGGATGATGACCGGATGTGAGCGAACCATTCACTTAATCATACACTTTCAGTTGTTTCCTCAAAATATGGAAGACACATGGGTCTCTGTCAGAGTAAAATAGATTTTATTAGGCCCTGCAACATGATCAACATCCATGAATCAACATTCATTACGCTCATTATTTTCCGTATATTGGGAATAATCATCCCAACTGACGAACTCATATTTTTCAGAGGGGTAGGTATACCACCAACCACTTATGCTCATTAACCATCATTAACCATATAATAACCATCATATTAACCATGATTAACAGTAGATTAACCACATATTAACCATCAGCCAGGGGGCTTCAGATCTCCAAAATTCATCAGCGCCTTTGGGTGCCGCCAGGTGAAGCAAGAGGGCTTCGACCCGCTCACATCGTCCAGACGAAAGGATCCCAGCATCGATTGGACTGGCCTGGAACGAAGGACCCGAGCCGAGTCGAGTCCTGCCTGGGACATCCTGGGACATCCCCTATGAATGATGGTTTCAATGGAATCAATGAGGCTTTCAATGGGAAAAGCATCTGTAAATGGTGGAACAACGTGGACCATGTGCAGGAAACTTGAGAGAGAGAGAGAGAGATAGTCAGATATAGTCGGATATAGTCAGATAGTTGATAGTTCAATCTTTGGAGGATTTGATGATTTTGTAGAGCAAACTCCAGGTGCTGTGGTTTTCATCAGGACCTACTCGGTGCGCCTCTTGTACCGCGAGGTGCCTATACTGAATGCCCTTGAGCTAAACTTGCAATGGAAATAGCATGAAATACCCTCCAGGAATTTCACATAGCTATGAACTTAGATGATTTACATTGATTTACTATGAACATTATGAACTTATTAGATGAATTTAGCTATTAAACATGGCGATTGTCCGTAGCTAAAGTAGCACTCGATAGTGGGTACCCCTGATCCCACGATCGAACATGAGGAATCTCACTGGGACCATGGTGAATTGCTTCAAGCTTTGGGCATGGGCAAGTCATCATGTTTCATCACTTCATCAGTCATCATTTTTGTCATCATTTTTGTCATCATTTTTGTCATCATGCCATGAAGTTTCCATGTAGTAAAGCCGCTTTACTTATCCATAGTTATCCATAGTGAGTTGACGCCCAATTCCTGATGGCCTTCATCATCACTTCATCATCACTTCATCAAATTTCAGAGATCAGCATTTCCTGATGTCGCTATCCCAGCTGGAAAGAGGACCAGACTTTCCCACCTAGCCGCTATCCCAGCTGGGAAGTCAACACGTTTCGGGGTCAACCATATTTGACATACTGTAAGAAATATAAGCCATATATAGCCATATAACATGTAACAATAATTAACCATAATTATATAATAATTAACAACTAACAATAAATAACAATATATTTGATGTAACATGGTGTAACCACGTCCTGTCAATGGCTCGAGACGACGCCTCCCTGGTATCGCCCATGAGATCTGAGGTTGCGGCCCCGGCCTCTGCGTCAAGTCCAGAGGTGGGACTCCCCGGGATCCCTTGTATGGACCATGGACATATCATATGATTTTGATATCTATATATCCCAATGGCAAAGTCCATTGGCGCGTGAGACGCAGAGTGGGTCATGCAGGGGAAAAAATACAATAAAAATATATATTTGTATATCAGATGTATCATATGGTATGTCATATGAATACCTGATATATCAGACATATCAGATGGCAGTCAGATGGCAGTCAGATGGCAGTCAGATGGCAGTGTCTCATTGTGTCTCATGGATTCTGAACTGCAAGATCTGGAGAACACCAGAAGAAACATCCCAACCATTCAACTCCGTGATCTCAATGCCGAGGCAAATCGACCGCGTGCTGCAGTCGTGGAAGGCTGCAGGGCATCAGGAGTAACATATGTAACATTCAAGACCTGTTGGGCTCTGGAATGGAACATGATGAGCACGGAAACTTCAGAAAAAAAGTTTGCGTGTTTGAAATTGTTTGAGCATGTGGTCTACTCAATTTATGGCCATTTGAAAGGAGGACCAGTGATTCAGTAATGGGTTTACACGCGTTCCCCTCCTTTTTGCCTAAATGTTCCGACAACGCAGGCGGAAACCCGGCATGTTGGTCCAGAGCTCAAGGGCTGTGGTGGGGTTTGGTGAGGGTCAAGGCTTGGCGCTGATGCCATCTGACTCCTCAGCTGGAGCCACCCAGTATTCATCCGAAGTTTGAAGACAAGAAACGCAAGCCGTTGCCATTTCTTGTCCTGACGCAAGGGGCAAGGAAACAATACGTGCAGGATCGTGCAGGTCAGTTTCTTGACTGATAGGATGGTGACGTATTTCCAACCTGGAACATGTTTCTTGAGTCAACAATGTAGCAGGCTGTAGCAGGCGACTCACTTCCTGTTCTGACTACAGTCCCATGTATCACTCAAATGAATCCAAATTATGTCTTCTTAGGGTATCAGCAGATGGCCAACTACAATTCATGAGTTCTGCATGACAGTCAATTTTTCAACACACCAGGTAGCTACATATTTCATAAGCTTTAAATATATTCGAACACATTTAATGATCCTGCACACCCAAGACCCAAAAAAACACATTTCATTAGTAGCTTAAAGTTAGATGTGATTGGATTTTATTTGGTATATTTTTTATTATTTTTTATTGGTCAAAATCTAACTTGCCATGTCTCTTTCAGCATCTCGGTGTTTTCGGCCATGGATCCATGGAGCCGCGGCCGTGCCGGCCATGGCTGCGTGGTCGTCAGTGCAGCTGGGACGCTCGCAGCATCCCCCAGCTGGTGCTGGATCACCCCACCCGCAACGGGCCGGCGGTGGAGAGCGAGGTGCTGGAAATTGAGGTCGGGGAGTCGGGGCGAGTGGCAGATGGCCCGACTTCAAGATTAAGTTGGGTCAAGATGTTTAGAGGTCATGGATTTTTTCGACATAGCCTAGCGTGTCTGTGAATGCGTGTTGATGTTTTTTTGGTATTTTTGGTTGGTCAGCTGGGATTGAAGTGAAGTGCTCCGCAGAGTCATTGCTACTACTGTGATCTTTTTGTGGCGTCCTATATCCACTTGGGTTAAGCTGGAAGGCATCAATCTTTGATTGGTTTCCATTTGTTGGTTCTTGTAATGATTCCATATATTCCAACACAACCATGGACAATTGATGGACACGCAAAGAAAGTCGATGAATTACTTACCATTGTCATACACTCCTTCAGATACATGCATACGTATTCAGACCAAATCATAAAAAAAAACATCATTTAACTCCAAACAACACGGTGAATTTTCCCAAGCCCTTCCCCAATAGCTCCCCTGATAGGATGAGGGCGATGCTCCTGCGGTTCCCTACCTTTTGAGCCACTGCGAGCTGCTGCTGCGCGTCCGGCGCTTGGCGGCAGTGCTGAGGCCACGCTTGGACTTGGACGCGACGGTGGCGGTGTGTCTGCAACGGACGCCAGCCTTGGTGGTGGCGCTGCTGGGGATCCTCTTTGCAGGTGGGGATGGGGTGGGTTTCTTGGGTTGGGAGGTGGTTACTTCTTATATTTATTTATATATGTTTATTATTGTCATTATTCTTTTTCCTATTTGATACCCGGAGACTGGATGGGTTCAGGTTGGCAGGCGGATGGTTAAGCATCCTTGTTTCACCCATCAACTTCCTGTCAGCTATTCACCATCCAACCATTTCAGCGATTGTCTATTCGGTGCTTCACCCCACTTACTGTAAATTCTACTTAAATGGTAGACAACGCAATTTTTCTAAAAGTGGATTTGTTCACGTGTGGGGTTATTAGCACCAGTTATATAAGTCACTAGGTGGGTTAGTTTCCTTATGGGGTTATAATAACATCCCGTAGCACCAAAGCCCTTAGAATTCCACAGGTGCAAGACAAAACCTCGGGTATGGTATTTCCACATGTTGAGGGAAACCTCGTTTTTTTTGGGGAAACTTCGAGTTTTGGTTCTTAAACACGTACTTTGTTGCTGAACCCGTTCTTTACCATACTAACCTGTACGTTTTGGAATGGGTTGACCATCCCCAAGGTTTGGGTGAAGCACTACAGCCCCTTTCCGGCACCATCCGGCAGGTGCTGCCTACCTCCCCTTGGAACCAACGCACCCGGGCGCGCGGCTGCGATTTCTCTTGGAGGATTCCCAGGCGGCGTGCCTGGTGACCTGTTGGTGCGCCCGGCGCCGAAACCTGATGCCGGAGGAGCCTCGGGTCGTTCGCTAAGTTGGGAAAGGCAACTGCAAGAACTGGAGTAAAATTTATACGACATAGATCTACAGTATAGTTGTTGGTTCAGTTGATAAACACAATTCCAATAACTGGAGTCAACTAGAGTTTAAAATGCACATGAATTACATTTAATTACACTAGTCAATGGGGGTTCCAAAGCAAATTATAACTGGGCAGCAGCACCGATCAGTACTTCCTTGGAGGATCATCCAACGGTCCAACGGATCGTAACAGGACTGGGATGATCCTCCAAGTGGAGGTGTAGCTCCAGTTATAAGTGGATATGCAGCCATAGTTTTGGGGGTAATCAATGGGAATTTCAGGATCCTAAAATGGAGGTACGTTAGTACCATATAAAGGCTATATCTTGTGGGGATATTCCCTTACATAGCCCTTACATAGGCCTTATATATATATATATATTATATATATATGGTAGGTACCTCCAATTTAGGTTCCTGAGATGGCCAGCGAGGTTATATCATGTTATATCCCAACTTTGTGGGGTTATATAATATAGCCTTTAACAACCCCAACTGCACCCCCAAAGTATGGGGGCAAGTCCTTGGGAAAACCATTTGCTAATTGGCCAATTATACTATCTTATTTTATCTTATAAAATCTTATTATTCTTTGTGAACAGAAGCCGTCTGCCGAGCCAGCGCGTCCCCTCCATTGAGTGCAGCCGCTGTGCGCTTTGGCGATTTGGGGTGAGAATTTGAGCCGGAAAATCAGTATTTACAGATGATTTTCCACCATGTTAGCCTTAAACCATGGTGATTTCCCACATGCGACGGCTTCCGTGCTTTTGGAGCTTGGGTTGTCCTCCAGGAGAAGCTGATCCGCGTTACGGCCATTGATGGTGCGATGGGGATGACATGGGACGACGGATGCCGCGTCCAGACGAAACATACCTCAGAAAACCAGCAGATTTCCTAGCAGCCCATGAAAATCCCTTCCAAGTTTTCCCAGGAACTCACCCCAATTCCAACTGGTGCAGGATTTCGCAACCAGAGGTAAAACCCAAGAACAGTGGAATATTTAGTATGATATTTCATGGGAAAATATTAGATCATAGTGGATAATTGATAGATTTGATAGTTATAAAAGTAGAATAAACCATCCCCAAATGAAGTCCAAATGAAACCCTAATGGTTAATGGGATGGCTAATCACCTATTGGCTTTATCATATGAAAATCACCTATTTTGAGCCCAAGGTACACCCCAAACTTTAGCTTTGGAGGTATTGGAATTGAAGGATTGGTTCAAATTTGCCTGGGAATTGAAATCGCAACGTAAACAATAGCAAACCTAAGAATTATTTTTTTTTCTGTTTTAAGTGTTAATTGTAGCTATTCACTCAAGATCTAAAGATATTCAAACTATTCCCATTGTGACAGACAGACTATTGGGACATCTCTGGACAGCTTTTCGTGGCTGGGGTTCCTGCACAAAACCTCCAAAACTATCTACAGGATTGTATAGCTATCCCCCCTAGTGGGTTGTTGTATAAAACACAGTTGGTTGTCCCGGTGTTTCAATGTGTTTCATAGGAATCCCTTGTTGGCATCCCAACTGGTTGATCGGAAGGTCGGCTACTGAGTCCCCTGCCGGGCGATGCTGATGCCACCGTGGCTGCGGCGTTTCTTCCGGAGGGACGCCCGGAGCGGCCGGCCTATCTGATGTGACGCGGCAGTGACCACAGCCCCAAGATGAATCAAGAACAGGTTAATTAAGATGTATCATAGAGACTACTTAAATCTAGTGATATCGAGTGATTGGAGTTGTGTTTGCCAATTTTGCTAATAACATGCTAATAACTAGACTGTAGATATATGAATAAACCCTAGTGAGATTGGAGTTATGTTTTCCAACTTAGCTAGAACTATGGGGCACCACCTTGCAATAATTGGGCATGTTGGGCCATATGCAGCACTAGAGATACGAAAACTAAAGCCTTTTTTTGGAACGCGATTCCATGTTAACTGTTAACTTATGTCAAATTGAGAGGGAGCACCCCAAGGTGGCAAGGGAAATTTGTGGAACACTGCCAGGTTTTGAATAGGTAAGTGGTGTGCGAGTGATTTTCCAGGATCTTTCTTTTGTGAACTGAGATTTGGATAGATTTGGATTCATCGTGCTATAATAGGATGATGGCACAGAACGAAATGCATTGGCAATAAGCATCGACAAGCCAACACCTTCGAAAAGAACTCGTTTGGCAATCTATCCGTATCCACCCTGCAATGGAAACCCACCATTTTTCAGAGACTTGATCTAGAAACGGGAGAATTTTCATGGATCTTCCGTTGTGCTAGATCACCAGAGGGTGAGTCACCATTTCTATTACTTTAATCCGCATTTATACATAATATTTTTTTTTTAATAAATATACATTCATTTATTTATTTATATTTATTTATTTAGTTATTTATATGATATGTTTATAGCTATATCCGGTGGAGAGCAGTGGAAGGCGAGGGGCCTTTGCATTGGGGCTGAGGTACACTTCTGGCAGCACGGGGACGCCCAAAGGCGTTTTAGTGCCGCAGCGCAGTGTATTGAAGCCAAGCTGCAAAGTAAGATTTCATGGTCATGGGTGGGTTGCTCGCAGGAATTACTCATACTTATGACAGTTGCCTTTAATTCGTGAATATACATGATATACATGTAAGGTGCTGCCAAATTGCCGTCAGACTTTGACACAATTTCCCGCATTCCCTATCATTTGATGACATTTCAAAAGAAGGAGAGGACGGACACAGGTCTTCCAACATGCTTCTGTGTTTGAGGAGAACCCAGGCAAGTTTAAAGAACGTTGCTATGAGGCGATACTGATGGGCAACATTAGGGAAAGCATCAATGAAACCACCTTAAACCACATTAAACCACCTTAAATCAGCTTTGGATAGCTTTTCATCACCCCCATCATTCACCTAATTGCAGCATCAGTCCTCAGGAACGTGCTGCACTCCTTCCACTCGATGATTGGCGGTGGGCTGCAGAAATTGGTGGCCACCACCACCTACTGCGGCCTGGCAGCAGGGAAGCTTTGAGGGATCAGATTGGTGACTTTTACCCTCTGGTTATGTCAAAAATAGCTATTGAAAATGACCATAGAAATAGTGGATTTTCCCATTAAACATGGTGATTTTCCATAGCTATTTTGACATAACCAGAGGGTAAGCCTTACGCCATCAATTCAGGTCTATTCAGGGGACTACTCGGCCCTTTTTTTTGGGGGGACAGAGGGTGCACCAAGCAGCATGAAAACCAGGTTTCGACATCTCGGTGCTGGAGATCTTCTGGCCCCTCTGCTTTGGCTTTTCCCTGTTCCTGGCGTCGGCAAACACCGCCAGGAACGGGGCAAAGTTGGCCGGCTTGTTGGAAAGCCAGGCGTGGCTGGTGGCTGGTGGACTGTGTGTGATCCACAGACTGCGCAAAATGGGGGTCATTTGGTTTCTTCAACTACCTGTTGAATTTCCCCTACTTTTGGGGCTTGCAAGTTGAAAGCCTGACCACCTGGAGTGGTTCCTGCAGACAAACACGGCCATGGGAAAATCTGCTTGCTAGGCAGATTGTTTGCATATGCAGCATTCTTGATCACTTTCTCCATGACAATTTGAGAGCTATAGAATGTACATCTGTCATGCAAGCAATCTATATAATTACATGTCGATTTTGTTAATTACATGATTTGCTTGTTAGTTCCCCCAAAAATGGTACCTTACCTTCCTCATCTTGTCATGTTAGAGATTACCGGGTATAGCATCCTAAGTAAAGCCCCAATGCTAAAATCATCTCAAATATTCTCAAATCGGTTTCAGTCCCCCCTTGGGCCCCTTGGGCCCCTCCACCACAGGAGGTGGAGTTGCTTCAGGGCACGCCTGCCCTGTGGCGCTCGCTGGTCTCCGCGGGCTACCAGGGACATGGAGGCGCGGGGGTTGGATTCAGAACTTTCTTTCAGAGATGGATCTTTAAAGGTTAAAGGTCCCTTAAACCAATTGAAGATGGGGGTTTGTCTCAAAGAATGGGAATAAAACCAGTCCCAAATTGGGGGTATTGCGGGATCAAATATGACAAAACATGCGGTATTTGGGTTTGTTTCAACATGTGATACCGCGGGGTACCCAAAAATGATCAAACATTGAAATATTAAAATTTGAGACGGAGCATGATGATAAATTGATAAACCAATCGCCATAGGGAAATGTGCTATGCATGTATCTTTTTAGATTGCCCCCACATGGCCGTGAAGGGAACCATCGACCTCCAAAGTGTGCATTCTTATTATGTCTAGATCTATGTAGCCAATAGTTTTTTTTTTTAATGCATACACTAGCATGTTTAACTACCCTGCAAAATCCCTACAGCTTTTTTTCCCCTTTTGGTTTGCCCTTGCGATTTCCCGGCCTCGCTTGACAATCGCCCGGGGGAACCTCGTTGCAGGCTTGTCGGCGATTTGCGGCGGAGAGGCGGCACCCTAACATTAGACCTAAATTGGTTCCGAAGATGTGTAAATCCACAGGCATTAGGGGGAAAGGGTTACCAGCCACCCGGAAGTTAGAAGGGTTTTCTCGCATTTGTTCCCTTCAATTGCAATCAAGTTAGGGGTTTGCAGTAGGTCTTCCCGTCTGGGGCACAGCTTTCCTGCTACAGGCCTTCCCTCCAAGCTTGGTGGAGCCCCTTCAACATGCGGCTGGCCGGGGGCTGTGGAATGCCTATGGCCCAACGGACTGGGGGAATGCTGTGGGGCAGAGGGAGGGCGAGTTTTGTGGGAGGATGAACTCACGACAGCTGCAAGGAAGCCACGATTTGGGCCACGACCTATGCATTGAGCACCAGCGGCTCGCACATATCCGTAGCTTGTGGTGTCACATATGCAGACTGGATGATAGCGCATGAATTCATTGCTCTTCCATCCCTCGCTGGGATGACACACTCCAACTGAACGGTAGTTTGGTTGAGTTGGGATGAAACGATGAACCAGATAAGACAGGAATGCCTGGTCCTTGGATCACATTTGACCTTTTCTGCGGAATTTCGCCCTCCGGTTTTCCTACAATCCGATGCCGGTGGTTTCAATTTTTCAATGTGTTTCCACATGTTTCCACCAAATTCTTTGCTAAGCCTCACGTTATCAGGAACGCCAATGTAAAAGTGGTGGAGGCAATCTCCCAATTGCGCGCCAGCGTTTCCCAGGCTCCCAAGCGCGGCTGTCCGTGCCCATTGGCCTGCCGCTGCCCAATGTGCATGTGGCGTTGGAGGCGCGGGCAACTGATGAGTTTTTATGAACTGTTATGAAATGTTCATGTCAACCCCGGATTCATACACCCTGGTTGATCAACTAGGGGGTGAATCACCTAAATTGTGATTCACTACTTAAAATGGCAGAGAGAAAATTACGGAGAGGGGGCTTACTAATCCAGACCAAGGTTGACATTATGAATCCCTTCACCAGAATATTAAACACAAGCCCCAATCGAACCCCTGCTGATCCCTGGTGAAATGATGTGACATGTATATTGGTTCTATTCATGCTGGTCTTATCCGGGAGATGGGATTATAATGGATTATACAATTATCTACCCACGACCCTAGGCATGGGGTTTAATGGGGCCAACATTCAAGGCCCAACGCACAGATGGACTGTTCCTTTGTAGGTTTGCCGCAGGCACCATTTCTGGAGAACCCCTGGTAGTCATACGACAGAATTGGTTCATTTAAGCATGGCGTGTCAGGGTCCAGCCCCCCCAGGCCCTCAGCAGTTCAGGCAGAAGCAGATGGAACTGGTGAGTTGTTAGTGACTCGGACGCAGCTTGAGGCTTTTCCATGGCCAGGATTCAACAGATACAGTGGGAATCCATGGAATCTGCCCTTTCAAAATCAGCCCCAAAAAAACACCAGAAAAACACATGAAAACACCTACCCTCTGGTAAACGTTTCCGTTTACGTAACGATGGAAAATCACCATGCTATTAATGGGAAATTTCACGTCATATATGTAAGGCCATTTTCAATAGCTATGTTAGTTTACCAGAGGGTATGATGATCATTGATGATCATTGATTTTCTGGGTTGCTCGATCTCCCACCGTTGCCACGGTCGTTCGGAAATCCCTTCGCTGCAGGTCGGGGGGGTCCAAGTGGCCCTGGGCTACCACCATCGTCCTGAGCTGACTGCTGTGAGCTTCATGGAGGAAGATGGTATCAGAGCTCCTTTTTCTGAGAATGGACATCCCAATGGATTTTTGCTCATGGACTCGTGGATTGGGATTCATGGTGAATTATGATAATGGATTTGCTAGCTACTAGCTACCATTTAAATCCAGTTGATGGATTGATGATTATAATAATTCAACATGAATCCCCCCAATGTATTAATGGGGATTCATGGTGGATTATTCATAGCCAATGGCAGTCCCTATTGGAACGTGATTGGAACGTGATTGGATCATAAATGGGGGGTTCAATAAATGGAGGGGGGGGGATTTCATGTTCTTGTTATTGCAAATTGAGCCAAGACAGTGAATATTCCCCAACATCGGATATGAGCCCAAGCAACCCATGGTGGAGACACCATCCGAACGGAGTTCAAACTTCCGGAACTGTCAGGGCACAGCATCAGAAAAGATGTTTGAAAGCTCCAAGGTTTACCGCACCGGTGATTTGGCACGCTTGGGGGAGGAAGGCCAGGAACGCTAGTGACATTCTCAGCTAGCTACCTGCATGACATCTTCTCTTGGTGAAAGGTAGGACATGGTAAGACTTTCAACATATCGTGGATCTTTTAGATATTTCAACACTGCTACATCTGCCACACCGAGCACGAAAACAATACAGGTGTCAAATGACCGCATAGGAAAAACAGATGAGAAGAATACACATGATAAGCCATGGTTTTGGGATGAGCTTCGGTTGTAGGGAATCTTCTGCCCAGATTTTGCTGCAGCCATTTGCATAAAACGGTCATTTCCTGCAGATAATTCTGAAACATATAACCATTGACACTGGACTGAGCATGGATGATACCAGGATATTTCAAGTGTCCACATCCTTCTGTGGCCTAGCTGATCTCACCATCAATTATGGCTAGCAAGGTAAAGCATCCCTAAGTATGCGCACGTATTTCAGCTTGTAAAGTATTTGTTTCATTTTTTGAGTTAATTTCTTTTACTATCAACTACATTAGTGGATTCAGCTTGCGGCATTTCCCTGGCCCCGCCTGCGCCAGGGCTGGAGTTCTTGGGGCGGATGGATCAACAGGCGTGCATCCCAAATCCAAAGTGGACCACTTCTCCCCAATCATTGGCCTATCGTTGGCGCATTTGGCACCGTTGCCAGGTGAAGTTTCGCGGTTTTCGCATCGAATTGGGCGAGATCGAAGCGGAGACTTGGTTGCAACCAGAAATTGGCGAAAAGAGACGGAACCCGCCCATGGTCAATCCATGTCAATCCCCATGGATTTATCCTCTGGTAAACTAACATAACTATGGAAAATCACCATTTTTAATGGGTAAACTCACTATAACTGGCCATTTTCAATAGCTATGTTAGTTTACCAGAGGGTATCCTGAATTTACGACAAAAAATGTCCCAGACTTGGCCAAATCTGCCGGAAATCCCCGGATTTGATGCAACAACATGCAACAACAACTTCCATCTACCACATCCAGGTACTGGAACGTCACGCAGCGGTGCGCTGCGCTGCTGCGGTGCTGTGGGAAGGCCCAAGTTTCGGGATCCAGATGTCATGGAGTGCCAGCGGCATGAATAGCTCCTGGTGTTGATCATTTTCGCCAATTTTCCATAAATTGGATTAGATGATGGTAATGAATGAGATTTTTATGGATTTACTGTAGTTCGGAATAAATTTTCACATGGATTTACATGGATTTATTGTTTTATTTTTCATGGGAAATCCCAAGTCATGAGGGTTTTCATCTGTTTTAGTTTATGTAATCATGGTCAAACACAATATGCCTTTTACCGTTTACCATTTACAACCCCAACTGCGCTCCTACAAAGTGTGACCCCTTGGCTATCTGACTTGGATAGCAAAGTAGGCCCACTGGATCTACTGTAATTGTCGGGAGTCTGGGTAGATATATCCATAGTTGGATTTGGATGGGGTTATAAGCCAACTCAGAATTGACAGGACCCGCATTCTACCGTCTACACACAACGTATGTATATATATACACTGTACATATTATATATATATACACTGTACATATTATATATCTATATATATTATAATATATATCTGTGTGTGTGCACATAGGCACAGATACACATATCGGAACACTTTTTCAGGCTCACAACCCTTCCGGAGAGTAAACTCGGCTATGGTTCATGAATTGGGTTCACCACATTATTTGCCTCGAGAACCATGCGTTTGTCTTGCTCTCGGCTCTAGTCACACTTAGCAGCCGCCGGGGATCGTGAAAGAGGCACAATATTTCATCAGCATGGAACCGCCTGTGGCTGGCCTGCCCATTGTCAAGAAGGACGTAGCCTACATGTGAAGAGCAAGGCCTTTTTATCAGTCTGGCGATCTCCTGTGAAATGTCATTCCTGGAGTCATAAGCCCTACCGGGGGGCCCCCGACCTGGCCCTGGGGTGCACCGTGCAGGACGGTTCTGCGGGAGATGTCTCGGGCAAAGTCGTCGCGTGCCTCGATGGGTTTAACGTGGCAAACCCAATAATATACCCAATAATGTCATAAACCACCCCCAAGTCATCACCATTTTTTAATGACTGGGATTTCAACATATTGAACCCCTCCCGAGTCATGGTAGGTTTATGGCAGCCAGGGTTGCCAACAATATGGACCAAACTTACGGTGAACTTAGTTCCTACGTTGGTGAAGATTTCCCAAAGGAAAGGGCCCAACGGATCAGGTAAACTGGATTCCAAGTGAGTGATCTATTTTCAGATCTTGATATTTTCCATTTTTGTTTGCTGTTGATCTATATCTATCTTTTTGGGTCTGATACCCTAGGGGAACACCCCAAGACACAGTGGTTGAAACTGCATCCAACACGAGTCCAACTTCGGACCAGCAAGACTGCATTTCCCAGCCGCATTTCAGGCACATCCAGGTTGTATATCCTATTCTATCCCATCATGATAGCCACAAAAATGGTTGATATCCTATAGATATCCTATAGATATCCTGTAGATATCCTATAGATATCCTATAGATATCCTATAGATATCCTATAGATATCCTATAGATATCCTATAGATATCCTATAGATATTCTATAGATATCCTATAGATATCCTATAGATATCCTATAGATATCCTATAGATATCCTATAGATATCCTATAGATATCCTATAGATATCCTATAGATATCCTATAGATATCCTATAGATATTCTATAGATATCCTATAGATATCCTATAGATATCCTATAGATATCCTATAGATATCCTATAGATATCCTATAGATATCCTATAGATATCCTATAGATATCCTATAGATATCCTATAGATATTCTATAGATATCCTATAATAGATATCCTATAGATATCCTATAGATATTCTATAGATATCCTATAGATATCCTATAGATATCCTATAGATATCCTATAGATATCCTATAGATATTCTATAGATATCCTATAGATATCCTATAGATATCCTATAGATATCCTATAGATATCCTATAGATATCCTATAGATATCCTATAGATATTCTATAGATATTCTATAGATATCCTATAGATATCCTATAGATATCCTATAGATATCCTATAGATGTTCTATAGATATTCTATAGATGTTCTAAGTTAGCCAGATTCCAATGGTTTTTTTTTGTTGCCCCTCTTAGGCTTTAAGGGGATGTGCAGCTCCAACTGGACCGAGGCTGTACTTCTCAGCACATTGGTGTCCACCCTGTCGCGGCTTCACCCCTGCCCTGAAGCAGCGACCTGGCGCCATTGTTTTCCCCTCCTTTCCCATGGTCCAGTCGTAATATTGTTAATTACCCTCTGGTGAACTAACATAGCAATGGAAAATCACCATTTTTCATGGGAAAATCCACTATAAATGGCCATTTTCCATTGCTATGTTAGTTCACCAGAAGGTAGTCTCCATTTGTACAGGCAATATTGAGGTACACTGGTTGTTAATGAGACAGATATTTTTTCCTCTCCCCTCTCTTCTAGACTCTAGCGTTCAGTATCATATAATCTAGGAAATTCTAGGAATATGATTGGTAGAGATAGTGGTTGCCTGTGACAGTTGCTGTAAATAGACGGAATCTCTAAGAATGGCCTGGCCACTTCATCCTGCCACGGGATGCTTCTTGACGAGCCGTGGCTATCCGTGGCTTCAAAACGATAAGGGGCCCCATTGGTGCAAAAAATACCCAGTGCTCAACCCCGGGTTTATATGTAATATTGACCAGTAAGCTGACACATAGAGATGTAATATTTTAAAAACTCGTGGAAAAACTCATGAACATCCACCATTTCTAGATCATTTCCGAAGGAAAACCACGAAATTCCAATAGCTGTGTAAACATTTACCAGAGGGCATTTCGTTTGGTGAACTTCAATATCATGATCACATTTCAATTATACTACTATAAATTATGAAACGCATCAGTGCTATCATTATGAAATAGCTCTCATTCCCATTTTCCTATCAGTTTCATCATTCCTATGATGAACATCTTCAATGTGTATAACATCATGATCATCATCATCATCATCATCATCAAACTATTCAATACCCATTTTTTGTTCATTCCCATTTTCCCCGGGTGAAATTCCATAAAGTCACGACCTAAAGCCCAGGTTTTACGACGTCGTGAAGGAAAAGGGCGAGAATCTGGAGATCATCTTCGTCTCCGCCGATAAGAGCCCAGCAGAGTTCCAGGAGATCTGGCGGGGGCTGGGAAGATGATAATCATTGATGGTAAATGATACTGATAGTCATGATAACAATGATATTAATAGCGATGGTGATAGTAATAATACTTAGTATCAATAACTAGTGATAATAATGATAGCTACTACTGTAATGACAATGATAATAATAGCCAATAACTATATAATAGTATGTAATAGGGACAAATAGTAATGATATGATTAATGTAGTGAACCCAGGAAAATAGGGATTCGTAACATGATTCAACCCCCAAATGATTGGGATACCATGGGGATTTAACATGATTTAACAAACAAAATATGCGGATAATGGATGATATGTAGTAACCCAAATGTCCCATGCCATAAACCTAACATTTGGGGATGGTTTTTATTTACTATAGCCATTGAAGGGAATTTTGCTATGTAAGAAACACTTTTTCATTTGATAGTTGCTGGTATGTATCAGTTGGAATCAGTTCATGTACCCAAGGGATCCCAAAGGTACACAAACTGTTCCAGCTGATATACCCTTTGCTCGTTGAACATAGCTATGGAAATTTGAACACTGTTGATAGGTAAATCATCTATAAATGGGCAACTTCCATAGCTGCCATATGGTGCTATATTCATTGAGTGGAGGGCCGATTTTTGCAGATTCCAGCTTTCCAACATCTTTCATGGTTTTGAAACTTAGAACATGCTGGGATTTGGAGGTCTCCACGTATCTCCATGTTCCGTGGCCGGGTCTGAGTCAGGAGTACTTCCAAAACCACCACGGTGATTGGCTGGCGGTGGACTTCAAGGCCAAGAAGGAGAGGGACGAACTGTCCCAGCACTTCAGGGTCGAAGGGATCCCAAGTATCTTGGCGGATAGGGATGGGGATCATATGGGGATCATATGGGGATCATATGGGATGGAGGGGCGGTTTTTCAACATGTTGAAACCAAGGATTGGAAAGCCACGGAACATGACCATGGCACCATGTGGACCCTTCAAGATTCACCATGGAATGGCAGTGACGCGTTCACGGGGTGCCCGGGGTGCCCGTGGGCTCCCTCCGAGGTCTGATCATCTTGGATCATAAGGGCAAGGCCATTTGGGTCGGAGCATTCTGAGCCAGGGGCTTCAGAGAACTTCTGTCCCAATTCTATTCACTCATTGATAGTGTCCAGTTTTTTTTGGGGCATCTCCCTGTAGGATATCATTGATCCAATTATCCTGTGGATATTGAACGTAGCTATGGGAAATCACAATTTTTTATGGGTAAATCATCATAAATCATGTGGAAATGAGTCATTTTCCATAGCTTCGTTAAATAACCAGCTATCCTTTTATTATTTATTATATCTTATCATAACATATTATAACCACCCAGAATCCAGAATCATCCAGGGTTGGTGGTGCCTGTCCCGGATTTCAAGGACAATTTGGAGGACGCCTCCGCATTGTATGGCACAACCACGGTTTCCCGTAAATTTTCCGGTAAACCTAATCCAAGCTTTGAAACATCTTCAAAATCTTAGTGAACACCTATAATTCTATAATGTGAATAAACCACATCATTTGACTTTGACTACTGTATTTTGGGTTGAATATGGGCCTGGTCCCCGAACTGGTTGAAGAGAAGTCTGCAGAATATATATATATAGATAAACATTGGGTGATCTCAACCGCAACATTTCCCTAAAACCCGACCATTGAAACACCAAACTGTTGCTAGTTCGATCCCACTCATGTGGGTAGAAAGTTGGGTAGAAAATAATGATCATCCAATTTTGCGGAGGAGATGTCCCCTAAATCTTCAGCCACACCCAAAAACGGGTCAAATCATGTTACCCTCCAGAAAATTATATAACATAGACCCTGAAAATCTATGATCACCGATTTCGACTGGAAACTAATCTTTTCCAACCCCTCTGGCAGGGTCTGTGTTCATTTTATGTTAATTTACTGAAGAGCAAATCATCCAAAATCGGCGGAGGCGATCGACAGCATCGAGGGGCGTAATGACGTGGCGAGCGCCAAAAGTCCAGAGGTGCCGTAATCGGGGCCGTAGGGTTGGTAGCATCATCTCAAGTCGTGCGCAACGTTGGGGAGTTCAGCTACAGAAATTGTCAATGCTAACAGCAGTTGTGATTTAATGATTGGGGCTTCACATGGACATAATATAGGCCGTTTTTGGGGAGAGAAATTGCTACAATGGAGAGGGGCCAGATAGGAAACACATTTTCATGGTAAACCAACTCCAAAAAGGATCAAAAGGTCGGATTTAAAGTTAAAGTGGATCTACCTACAGTTGAATGGTTTTACCAACTCATGGGGGAGGACATCGGATATCAGCAAGAATGGCTAAAGAGGGTAGGTTTTATTAATTATAAAATATTTTGTCATGGAAATGGAACTTTGTTGGGGATTCACAAAAGAGTCAGGATTGCCAATCAATGGTCTGACATGGCAACTGGGCAGTTGGAGGGTTCCGAGATAGATTACAGAGGTTTCAACATTGCTTGAGATTCGCGGTGGGGCCCCTTGCCGACATGTTTTTTCACATATTTGATACGAGTGAACGAATGGAAACTTGCTTTGGTACATAGATTAAATCTCAGGAAAAACACCATTGGTACATGAGAATGAAGCCATCTTGTTCTACAAATGATCAGCTATAGAAACGATTGAGACGAATCAACTTTGGAACTTGGAAGAACTAAGGGAAAAAACCCTCAGGATTTGGAGAACTTGGGATGCTGTGATGGCCTGGAAGAACCATGGGCCTGAAAAAAAGGGAGAAAATTCGCAGAAATCAGTTTCTGAGAACAATTATCCACTTTTGTTCCCAGGCCCCCATAGAAGAAATATTAGATGATATGATGAACTGCTGAACGGGCACTCCCGCGCTCCCTATCTCGATCAAGTCTCACCCAGACCCCATTCTGGGGCTTCCGTGTCAAAAACGAAGCTTATCTCTATTTTCATCGGACATTCTTAAGAAATCTCAAGAACAAATTAGACTAATCAATCTTAGATACACAATGATAAATAGACTCAAAACAAGAACATAGATAAACACACACACATATATATATATATATAATATCATAGCTATATATATATATTTTTTCAAGAAATAGAAGCGGAAAAAACACATAATTAATAGGAACATGGACAAATAAATGCATGTATGCACATGTATGCAATCATACTGAAATAGATGGAGTTTGGTTGTTTCACAGATATTCTCATTTTAGTCAGGATTTTTTGGTGTTTCCATATTCTATCTACTCCAGGATGTATATCCCTCTGGTGTTTTAACATACCCTCTGGTAATTTAACATAGCTATTGAAAATGGCCATTAATAGTGGATTTTCCCATTAAAAATGGTGATTTTCCATAGCTATGTTAAATTACCAGAGGGTATCTATGGAACATGGCCCATTTATAGATGATCCAAAAAATAACGCCATAAAATGGCTCAAGTGCCGCAGCCCAACTCTTCCGTTTAAATTACCAAAGGGTTCATCATCGAGATGGGTTTGGTCAGTAGGTGTAACTCAAAACAGTCTTAGTTCAGGTTGGTGGATTGTTCTAATTCAACAGTGTATGCATAATGTACGTATCCGATTATTAACCAGTGTATCCTCACTTAAATCCAATAAAAAACGCCTATTAGTGCCTTTTAAATCCAATTACAATATAAGACCACCATTAAATCAGATAGAATCCACCCGACATCACCATTAAATGAGACAGAAAACTCTACGTCTGCAGGATGTGATGAGCACCTTCGCCAAGTGGCGGAAAGCGGCGGGCGATTGGCGAGAGACTGCGGGAACGGCATTTCGGCGGCCACTAGGGGTAACCCTGGACAGTTTCATGAGATTAATATGGCTACCCTCTGGTAAACTAACGGTTAGCTATTGAACATGGCCATTTATAGTGAGTTTTCCCATTAAAAATGGTGATTTTCCATAGCTATGTTAGTTTACCAGAGGGTAATAGGGCTTCATAGGGGATTAATAACGATTTAATCAACCAAAAAAAACATTTACCATAAGCTATTGTAAAATTACCAGAAGATAACCCGGATGAAAGACTTTGGATGATTTACATACCCCTGTGATGTGGAAATTTTTGTATAGAGACGAGCACATATCCCCAAAACCATTTATGAAGCAGCCTGGATGAATTATTTCATATCCCCGTGCTATGGCTGAAATTTGGGGATGGTTATTGCAGTTTTCCTTCCCCCGATCGCATCAAACACACGCCAAACGAAACCGTCGTGACATGTACCCTCTGGTAAACGTTTACGTAACTATGGAAAATCACCATTTTAAATGGGTAAATTCACTATAAATGGTCGTTTTTATTAGGAAGGTTAGTTTACCAGAGGGTATATATGATCTATTTATGAATTGGGGCCTCTTGTTTTTGGTATTTAATGCTCAGGGAATTTAGGAATGATGCCAAGGATCCTCCGATGAGATAGCTGGTGGCTTGATCTCCGCTCCCAAAGCTCATCCGAATGTGATATTGAGAGATGAATGCACATATAGATATGCATACATAGATGAATATAGATGTTTAAAGCTATGTATATATATATATGTATATGAATACAAAAGGACATATATATTTTGTTATTTTGTTTTAAACATATGCATGTCCATCTATATGTATTTGTATCGCACAATATCGCACAATATCGCACACACACACATTTGTATGTATATATATATATGGGCATACACATGTGCATTTGCATATATTACATTGCTATCCAGCCAAGGCCCTGGGTGGCAGCGGTGCGCCCGCCGCCAGCGACCCGGCCGCGCTGCGTGCTGCGCGCCTGGCGGCGTTGGAGAAGAGGGGGGCCTAAGGCGAGGTGCCACGATTGCAGCCGGGGTGGTTGATGATGATTCGTTTGCGGATCATGATAATGTGATGGTTTATGTGCCAAATCCTATCAAATCCTATGGTGGTTATGTACCAAACCCTATGGTAGTTTAGTGCCTATATTTTGTTGGTGGTTATGTACCAAATCCTATGGTTTATCATAATGAGTTCCTTGGAACATACCATTTTTTGGTAGCTATAATATACTACTGTAAGCTGGCGGGTTGCCCTAACCAATAGGGGATTACAATGTTGTTCAATGGCCATTTCAGGTGCCTAAATTATAGTCACTGGAATCGGGGATAGTCACTGGAATGATGGTTGGTAGGGGTAGCCTATGCCCAAACATCACTATTTCCATCTATTTCCTGTTTAATGAAGTAATATTAGTAACAATAGGTTTTCTTTTTTTTTTTCCGAAGCGCAATGTGACTTGACATTTTTTTTGACAACCCAAGTATGAAAATTGCCATGAAGATTTTTACACACGCACACACACACAGATATATATATATATATATATACGTGCATATTTCTATGCACATTTTTAAAAAATGAGATTCAAGAAGTTGGGTTTGCTTGGAGGGTCATCCCTCACGAATCCTAACTGGGTTACCGGTCCGGTTCAGTTGAACGCCAGAAAAAAAATGAAATAATGGCAGATAAAGATGGATATCACGTGGGAAAAACGATGGGTTTTCCCACATTTATATTTTCCATGTTTAACATTCGATATAATGGGGTAAGAACTATCAACCTATGCATAATGATAACGCCCAAATTTTAGAGGAGGGCTACCATGAAGGATTGGACTTTAACTAGGACAAGCAGAACTATAAAACATGTTGAGAAATGGTGATATGCATGACGATAAAAACAGACATACATAATCATGCGATAGTATGCTAGAAGATGGGATGCAGTATGCCCTCTGGTGACTTAACAGGTTGCTATGGAAGTGCGCCATTGAAACACAAAGGGTAAATCACCGAACCAATTGGCAATTTCACCGGATCACCGGGTCTGTCCAATTGGATCATTCTGGCGCCCTTAAAACCAACGAAGTTCACCATCTCTTAACTAAGCTAAGCCTGGCGACTGTTAAACACATCGGGCGGGGGCCTTGGAGGTCTTCCCTGGGCAAATCTCAATCATCTTCCAACAGATCGGGTGGCACCATTCTTACCAACTCACTTGGGGCCTGAATTTTGATTTATTTTGGATGTTTTGACTGAGTTTCCACTGGCCTGAGGGTGCCTTGTTTTTTGGAGGATGATGTGCTGGTTGTACATATGAGTTAAGAAGGTCCCAGAGATGGAGACTATCCGTTTGGAACGGCTGAAAGAGGGGGGCTATTTTCATCAAAATTCTTTTCAATGAACTTGATGGTATGGTCTTTCGCCAAATAGATGTTGTGCTTTGCAGTTTAATGTCTGATGATGGCTTTTAGTTACACTTTAAGAGCAAACGGTTTTTGACCAACAATGGAGGGTCTTGACTTTGGTCTTACTAATTCAATGTCAAATCCAGCAGTATTCGCCTGATCATTTATGTGATTTACTCAGGTGCTGCCTCATCATCGCTTCAATTCGCACTGGGGACTTCCTGAGGGCAGAGTCGCAGTTCGCCTTCCGCACCGAGGGGTGGCTGGTTTTACATGCTGAAAGTGTTGGTGGAATATTCAAAAAGGTTGATATCCATGATATCCCACTTGACCAAGTGATATGATGTATGATGATGTATGTTTGGTGCTTGAGGTGGCTCCAAAAACGCGCTTGCGTTTGCGTTGGGTGGTCTCGGAGTCTCTCGGAGTCTCTCCCAGAATTGGTTGAAGGGAACAGCAGCAAATCCCAATCATTTGTAAGATCAATGGGAATTTCAGGATCCCATTTGTACAGTACCTCCATTTTAGGATCCTGAAATTCCCATTGATAAGACTAGTGGCTAGGATAAAGGAGAGTTTCCCGAAACCAATCCATTGATCCACACCAATCTTCTGAGATTTGCCCGGTGAAACCGGCTGTGTACAGCTTCGGCGTGGGCCGGGCAGGATGTTGGCTGCGCCAAGCTGCCCAAACTTGGACCATCATGCTGCATATGAATAGAGCAACTTCAGCTTACCTCGGCTATAATGTTAGTAAAGTAACAATAACCCACCCAAATTTTGATGGTTTATACCACCCATAAGCATGTTAAAATTGGGGATGGTGGATCCTATTGCTTTACTAACATTGAGCGTGACATATGATGGCTTTCAGCGGCAAGAAACATCTGGGTTCACCTTCGCGGTTGAAGAGACCTCCCCCCCAACCTACCCATTCATTCAAATGGATCAAAGATCCAAACTCTGATGTAGTGGATATGTTTTTTTTTTTTTTTTTTAACGGGGTAACTTCCGAGGATTGAGCTAGATTCACATTGGAAGAAATCAAGGGTTGAGGCACCTCGTTGTTCGACGGCAACCACATCATATAGCATCGCTCATAGCATCGAAAATTGGGAAACCTGGAAATTGTCATGAACATTTACCCTCTGGTTATGACTAACATAGCCATGGAAAATCACCATTTTTAATGGGAAAACCCAGGTAAACCAATCCCTAATAAATGGAGGTTTTAATGGGAAAACCATCTATAAATGGTTCATTTTCCATGGCTATGTTAAATAACCAGAGGGTAATATAATTAGTAGAGATCATCTACTACAAAAATGTAAATGTAACCCTTTTTGATTTGCTTGGGGGTTCCTACATGTTGGGTAGACGGGGGGGTTTGCCCAAACTTCATTTTGTTTGTCCGGGTTGGGGTGGGGGTGCAATAACGTTCTGTTTCACTTGCACACAGAAATGATGCTACGCTAACGACCCTGTGTCAAAGAAAAAAATCATCCCAGCAAGGCATATGTAGATACAACTCGGCTCTCTGAAAACGGACGCAGTTGAGAACGAAAAAACACCCCATCCCTTGTAAGGGTTGTTTTCAACATATAATTGTGAAAAAACATGGAAGTTGAGTTG